TACTTCAATGACAGCTTACCTTCCAAGTGGGTGTTTGAAGGCAAATAATTTTGATGTTCTTCGCTAATTTTCCTGTGTCTTGCTGCCGTACTCAGCCCCCGGCTTTTTCATATGGCTACGGCATTTTCTAAGTGTCACCTTTCTCTGGCTTGTGCAATATTTTTGCAGGACCTGGATTCATGTCTTTCATATAAAGCATCCCCTGGGTATCTATTGAGTTTTGTATGGAACATTTCTAATGAAAAGAGGCAAGAAGTGAAGGCACTAATTGAACTGAAAAATAGTCCCAGATCGATGTCACGCAATCTTTACATCTAAGTGATCACGTGCCGCAAATACAGCCGCGTGGATATATTTGTCTTGTTCTTGCTCATTTCTTCATTTTGTTTTTTACTAGCATACAATGTTCTCGTTTTGGTTTTCTGTAACTTGTTTTATTTGTTATCACAAGCCTATTTCGAAGGAGAGTGTATATACACGCAACTACACTATACTTTTCCCATTTCCTAGTGACTGTGCAACAAACTAGAAATACTATCTAGTTTTAGTTCCAACAGTCAAATGCTTGGGCAGATCTATTAATAATGATTTCCTAAAGCCAGATAAAAGGGAATAGTAATATATCTCTGAAAAAGGGATAGTTGCTGGCCGCAAAGTGAGTTTTTGTAATTTGTATTAATTGTATTTACCAATTTGCCCATGGCGGGTGAACACGCAAATAGGTCCCCTTCGTGGAGCACATAACGTTTTAGGAATTACGTTCAACAAGATACCTTTTGATGCAGAAGTATACACACGCTTTATATGATTCTTGAAAACTATCCCTTTGGAAAATAAAAATGATTTGGTTTTGTGTTCGCACAAGACACGTTTCTTTTCGTACGAGCAAAGAGCACGTAAAACTGTTTTGAGAGTTGCCATCGAGAGAGATCTAAGTTTAAAACAGATAATTACAGAACGCAAATAGATCTGTGGCAAACGGTTTGTTTACCTCTAAAAAAGTTCTAAACATAGAGTTCTCACGGCTTTCGAGCCGTTAACTTTTAAAATCGAACTTTTCGATCGCTCGCCCGATAAACGAAGCTAGCACGTGCGAGGCTCCTAACTTTTTCTTAAATTCGGCAAACCTTATTACAGGGACAAACTCCACTGGATTAAAATCTTTAGAACTTTCCAAAGATATGTGCAGGAAAATGAGTTTAGGTCTTTTGAAGTGTATTGTATAACCTTGAGCGCTCACTTTGTCAAAAAAAAAAAAAGAAAAAAAAGAAAAAAACACTTTGAATCATGATGGAAAATGTTAATTAACTTGTTGCATTGGCCATGTAATGAACCGTTAAATGCATTGCCCGCAACATCAACAAGAAAAAGAAATTGTAGCACAGGAAAACTTCTTGCCCCCTTCCCCGTCAGAAAAAAAAATTAATCACCTGGTCCGGAAATGACAGGACAGATTGCGTTACACTCCCTAGACCGAGCTTAGGAATTTTTTTCATCATACAAGAAACTAATTAAATATCAAGAGGTTGCTCACTGAGAGGTAGATATTGCAACATATGGATCGATTTTCCGGAAAAGTGTTGCACAAGCTTAGCCTGGAACCGGCGTACAAGCTCGATGTCAAGTTATGACCCTAAATCATAAAGTGCGGCAACAAGAAAGCAATAGAAAAATTAACTGAGAACGTCAAAATTATTTGCCTTCAAACACCCATTTGGAAGGTAAGCTGTCATCGAAGTATTATCTCAGGTCTACTGGGTAGTTTTAATGGGAAGTGGTAGGGTTTTTCAATGGTTTGCTCAGAAAGCAAGCTAAGGCTAGTCGAATTGTTTACATTTCCTGGTTGAACAAAATCTCTTCGAAAGGTCAAATTGGGTCAA